CGCGCAGAGCCCGCTGCGGGCTCTCGACGCCTCTTCCCCCGCGGTGTTTCCGCTTCTGCGGGGACTTGGCCTGCCCCGACTGGCCGAGATCAGCACCCCGGCCAAAATACTGAAGTGCCCGCGTCCCCCTGCCCGCCCTCCGCCGGTTGCGGGCCCGCTGCTCACCCTCCTTCTCCCCCACAGTCGTCGGCTGTTATAGATTATAAAATAGTATTTACTTTCACGTTCATAGATCAGCTTTTTGCAGCACAAGTATTTCGATATGGTACAACTTACTTTTAACTGCTTTGTATAGTATAATATGCCAGTTTGCGTATGCACTTTATATTTCATATGCATAGTAGTGTGATCTTTGTAATGCACTGACATTGTTTAAAATCTACATGGCAATGGAGGGAACAGATGATAAAATAGTAATTTGAGAAATGAAATAAAGAAATTTAATTGGTATTGTAAAATTGTCTGTATGATACCAAAATGACAAATTGAAACAATAGTTAAAAGAATCCAAGGGAAATACAAAAAAGGGAAGAAAATTTAAAATTGACATTACTAAAAAACCCAGAGATGATCATATCCCAGGAGCCAGATTTTGGAATGTTTTAATGGAATTGTCTGAGTAGCTCTTACTTCTTATATTTACATAATCTGTTTATGGCATGTCCAGCTTGTGCTTCAATTTAGTGCCACTCTGCGTCCTCAGTCTGCAGGGAAATGAGTATTTTGGGAAGTTCTTACCACTCTATTTAGTGCTATAAAGGTTAGGATGATTTTCTGGTCGCAGGCTGTCTGTCCAGACCTGTTTCCTTCCCTCTCCCTGTCCGACTGTCCCTCAGCAAGGCTGAGGTGAGACTAGGATCTATAAAATGTGACTCACTGTCCTCCTGAGGTTGAAGCTGTCTGCTATAAATTCTGATGGAGTGTGAGGTGCTCAAGACTGAAAACCCCTTCTTTTCTCCTGAATCCCAGGACACTGTGCCCATAAGAAGCTCCTCTCTTTGTGGCACCTTAGGGATCCTCCCCCAGGCAGCAGGCAGAGAAACTTAAGGGTCAGCATGGGGACTGTCAGGACTCATTGAGCACAGCTGGAGGTGTTGGGACGAGGTCTACAGTCACAGCTTAGGTCAGCATGGCTCCTTGTGAACATTCCCATATAACCATACACAGAACTCCACCACAGACATAGTGCTGTAAAATCTTGGTGGCCACAGTTTGGAACTCGGTGAAATTGAAGTAAAGTTGAAGGGTTTATCCACTAAGAGAACTAGTGATTTATAAATTAAAGCAGAGTAGTATTCCACACTAACAATTTGGGATTGGCGCTAGCTAACCTGTGCCAAACTTCCACTTGGAAGACCTACCCAGTGAGGCCACCCCTTTCTGTGGAGGAGAAAAACCCAAAGGTTCAGGGTCCAGACTGCTAAACTGCAAGTGAACATCTGTGTCTGTGGTGCCTACCACGAAAATAAGTATTAGCCAGTCTCTAAGTGCTTGTCTGTATTCCAGGTAAACACTCATCTATGGAAATGCTTCTGCTTTAAGTAACCTAGGGATATATGCAGCCAGTATATAACCATGTGCATTTCTGTTCTCAGCCAAATCAAGCTAGAGACTTTTTATTACTTTCCCTCTTGGGAACTTTCTTTGCTCAGCATTTTCCTGGAAGGCATCTGTACCATGTCTGTACAATGTAATTAAGATGCATTTGCTGCACATCCATACAGATGGGTTGCAAGTACAGGGAAAATTCTCACTTTAGAATAGTGCTTAAAATGAAATTTCCTTCCATTATTATCACACATTTGTTAGTACATAAAATATATTTAATACAAACCAAACCATCAAAGTAGATTGATAAAGTTCAGTACAACATCACTTGTGCCCTGGCTGCACACGCAAACAAACATGTTTCTGGGAACCAGTTAGTGCTGCAGATACTAACACTGCTCAAACTCTAAGCACTCAACAGATAGATCTGAAGAATCTGGAGGAAAAGAAACTGCTATCTGATTCCCTCAGCTTCAGGAAGCCACAGCAGCAGATGGTGAACTGTGCAGCCAGTTGGCTCCAAGATCTTTAACTCATATGACTGACAGTTTCTCAGGAAGAGAAATAAAAATCTATCAGAGGAAGCAGTTCCCAAATAAAAGTCTTCACACATGGTTTCTTGCAAGTTTCTTTATGCTGTTCCTTCCAAACGTTCTGTTTGTGAAGGTCTCATTCATTCAGGTTGCTTTTTCTCTGGCATTTCATCCGCACATCTTGCATGAAGTTTCTGAAGGCTGGTTCTTCATGACTCTCCTCAGTCACTGGGGGAAGAAACAACAGTTCAGCACTATTCTACCTCTGTTACTGACAAAAGCTAGAGTCAGGATAGTCAGAACAGCATAACATTACAGGGCAAAGCAAAGAAGTGATCTGAAACACCAATGGAACAGGAAAAGAATGAAGATTAAGTCTGTGAGCTATAGAAGAAAAAAATCACTCTCTAAGAACTTAGAAGATTGCTTTAAGACCATAGTCACAGCAAAAGCCACAGCCAGGGGCAGAAACTGTAAGGTCAAAGAGATGATAAAACAGCTGGGCATCAATCAGGTTCAGAGGTCACTGCGTGCTCAAGCCTAACGAGTTCCCTGCTTTATATGCGTAATACACCTATGAATTACTTGTATAGAAAACTTACAATTGAACTCTCACAGAGGTTGGAGAGTGATAGCACTGACCAAACATTGCAGCTGGGCTTCTGCTATGGATTCTGACACATGTATTTAGGTGACTGTTTGCTTGTTTTCTAGGCTCTCTTTACAGTCCACACAGGTAATGAAATACAGAGGGGATTTCCTAACTAGATGGGTGGTTTCAGGCCTCATTCCCTTACCTTCATGGTCAATGTCATCAGTATCACTCTCTCTCTCTTCCTCTTCATTGAGAGTTCCTCGTGTAAGGATTAGCTCAGAGGGACCCATTGCAGAAGCATCATCAAGTCCTTGAAGGGAAAGAAATAGCTGTACACAAACCAGCTTGCTAAAGGTAAGGTATTGTTAACACTGTCAACTTTTATCTGCACACAAACACAACAATTAACACCTGCTCTGAAAGGACAGAAGAGGATCCCAAAGATACAAGACAGACTTTTATCAGCACATACCTCTAAGGAACAGTGCAGCCAACAGCACAGCTCTCCTATATCCTAATATGTTTCACCTTTTCTAAAGTACCTCATTATTTTTACTATGACTGCTGCTTTAGCTGCACAGCAGGGCTTCCTGCACGTCTGTGACAGACAGAGGAAGAGCTAAGTGTGGTCAATCCCACAGGAACTAAAGCCCCACTCCTCTAACATGGAGCTGTTTTCACACTTTGCTGTGGGAACAGAGAAGCAGTTCTCAACACAAACTCTTCAGAAAACTTTTGCAGTGAATTTGATCTTCCTGGTGAGATACCTGCCAGTGTGCTGCCCTGCACACACACACTGCCCATGTCCTTCCACAAGTGTTCCAGCTGCTCTCTCTTCTGTTTCTCTTGAGCTTCCTCCTGTAGATAGTTATATGTGGATTCTGAGAACATTTTAAGTATCAGTAAAAAGTAACCTCACCCAAACCCAACAGTCTGTCCCCCAGCCAGAGTGCAAGTCACTCAGCAGATCTCTGGGTAACTAAGGTTACACAGAACTTTGGACCAAACACAGACAGCAACCTCCGGCAGACTTCTAGAACATTTTCAGAAGCATCAGGAAGCCAAACTCAGTGCCTGCAGAGAACTGTCTTTTGGACAGCCAGGACTCAAGGTGAGCAGAGCTACTGATTTTGGTACTGCAAATGAGTCTCTGTTACTGTTTAAGTCAAACCAGTATACTTCACTGGTACAGGAAGATACAAAGATACCTTTGACAAAACACTCGAGAATTTATTTTCAAGAAATCTCTATCCTTCTGAATGAAAGATACAAAACTATTTCCAACCATTTTCTCACAATTAGCTGAAATGCTAGCACTAATGCAGCAAACAATATATGTTTCATAAAACATCTTTATTCTTGTAATGATATGCTCCACTACATCTAGGGAAAAAAAACAGATAGCAGACTTCTTCAGGACAGGAGTTTTCCCACACTGAGTGTGACTAGTAAATAAAATGTTAGACCCTCTCAACATAAAGGCAATTGTGTGCATAAAAGCAACCTCAAGATACACTATCCACGTGTACAACAGCCAAAACCACTTACTAGTGTTTTTCTCAGGCGTTCATATTCTGGACGATACTCTCTGAAAAGATAAGAGTGCATTCGGTCTGAATCAACACATGATTTATATTAAGTAAGGATCATCTCAGAGGCTTCCTTCTACCCCACAAAAAGTTTTCTTAAGGCTTTCATGTTTTACCCAGATTTGGATTCTGAAACCAATGGATGCAAAATAAGTGAACATACTTAATTGAAACAGCAAGAGTTCAGACCTTGACTGCTGTACAGAATTACAGAAAAAAATATTCCTTCACATAGGTAATGGCACAGATAGTTTTCGCTTTTTCACTGAACAACAAACACAAAAATTCACCTCTGAATAATTCCCTTACACTGCCACCTTTTATGCTGATGCTTGAAGTTTATTAGAAACCCTAAACTATCTTGGCTAAGGAAGGTGTAGAATCCCTCAAATCAAAGGAGTTACAAATCTGTACTTTCAGGAAGTGTTCACTGGGCTGACTGTCGTCTTACCTCTCATATTCATCTACAGCTTTAGAAAGCTGGATAAAAAACTCATCCAGTCCTGTGCCGAGCACTGCAGAAACACCAACCACCTGCAAAACAAACCACACACTACAACTGCAGAGTAACTGAACCAGTCTCTAACAAAAAACCAAAAAAACTAACAAATAATTACTAGTCTAAACCTAATGACAGCACAGTGGCACAAGAATGTGCAATACCACTTCTGCTTGTATCCATCCTGCTTTCAAACTCTTTGTCCACTTGGTGTTCATATTTGTTACCCCTGTCTTTTGGGTGCTGCTGGTTTTCTGTTTGGTGAGTTGTAGTATTTTCAGGGGGTGTTTCTTCTGGGAAGGGGGTTTGGTTTATTTAAAGAGTTCACCATTTCAAGAGAAAGTCAGGTCTTTCTGTCACTTACTTGTTTACGGTTAATAATCCAATCTGCACCTAGGGTTATAAGTAGTTAGTATGTATGTGTACTAGAATTAGACAGCAAAATATACAACAACTGACCTTCTCGCTCTGAAATTACATCTAATACTTTGTATTTAGCCACATCACACTTGGCCATGCAGTCCAACCCCAGAACAGCAGGTGGTGGACAATTCAATCAGTTACTGCAGCAATACATTCAACATGCACAGCTCCTTCCTAACTTGGACTTGTCTATCATTACACCTCTGGCCATTTGTTCTGTCTCTGTTAAATCAATTACCTACAAATACTTCATCTTCTAACAAAAATTCTTCCTCTTTTTTGAAAGCAAGACAGTCTCAACTACTCACTAACGAATGGAAGACTTTTTGCAATACAGCCTTGCACTTGGTCATTAATACAGCAAACATGAGACAGCTCTCCAAAGGATTTTAAGTACTACTATATGCTGACATACATTTATACTTTCTCTGCATTGAAGTACAAGTTGCAGTCTATGCTACAATCATCACATGACCTGCTCTCCAGTCCAGTATTCTGACATGCACAGAAATATGACCTAATTAACAAATAAAAAACAGGAAGTACTTTAGTTCTGTACATGGCACCACTACAATCCCTTCTGAAATTCTGTATATTGTTCCACATAGAACACATACATTACATCTATCTGAATGGAATCACTTATTTTCATTATCTTTCTTTTAATACCCATAAAGCCAAAAAAGCTTGCTTTTTCTTTAGTAAAAGGTAACGACAAACACAATTAGCTGAAACCTTTTGCACAGACTATGGGAACAGTGACAGCCTCCGATGCACAGGTTTTCCTGAGGAACTGGATTACTTTGTCTTCTCTAAACCTGGTTAAATGAGAAAAAACCCCAACTTCTTCTTGCCCAAGCAAATATGAGGCGGTGAGGGGGAGAGGGTGTTTGTTTGGGTTTGAGATTCTTTCCATTCTTCCTGTGTACTAAATTGCATAACTGCACTAGACACTTTCTGAAAATTACCTCAGACAGAAAATGCTGCCTCTCACCAGCCTATCTTCACTTTCTTCTCATGATTAATCACAATATTGAATTATTCAGGGCTGCCATTCAGCGTGACAAGTTACTGAAGTTACTGTGTTCAAATTAGCAAATCCTCAACATGGCTCATCAACAGACTACAGTCCAAAAGGGCAGTGCAAAGACCCTTTACAGAAGGACAGAATGGTTAGGATTGGGTGATACCTCTGGAGATCATCTAGTCCAACTTCTCTGCCCAAAAACCAGAATTAACTAGAACAGGTTGCTCACGACTTGGTCTGTCTCCAAGAGTGGAGACTTCAGAATTTCTCTGGACCATCTGTTCCAGTGCTCAATCAATAAAAATGAAGTATTTTTTTTCCTCTTCTGCTTAAACATAGTTTCCTGTATTTCACTTTGTGTCTATTGCCTCCTTTCCTTTCCCTGAGCACCAGTGAATAGTCTGCCTTTTGCCTTCCTTACATTTTACTCCCACCCTAAATCAAAAACATTACTCTTGAGATTTGTCTTCTCCAGGCTTTCGTGAGAGGTAATAAACAAAAACAAGATTCTTACCTTCAGTGAACTGTAAAATTCATCCAACACTAAACTCATGGAACGAGTCAGGTTACTGACATAGGAGGTCTCTTGATTCAGGGCATCCTGAAAAGTCTCAAAGTCCTGCATCCATTCCACTGCGAAACTGTGGTCGATTATGTCAGTCTGGAAGGAGAAGGGAAAATATTCAATAGTAATAATCTTAGCCATAGGCTGTTAAGTGGAAAAATAAAAAAAAAAAAAAAACAACAGTGTTAAGCTTATTTTCAAAATGTAAATATTGTCAAAATACTCAGCCCTGGTCTGAAGTTTTGCAAGTTCTGTTTTTATCAAATCAACTACACGAATACCTGGAAAGAAGACAAGCAACTGCTCAGGTTTAAGAAGGCACTGACTGTTTAAAGGAACAATCACAGTTCTAAAGCCTTCTACAACTTACTGCAAAGGAGCATTCAAACACTGCACACTGTACAATAAAGTTTACAGTGTAAATAGCAGATTGTATGATTGAGGCCAGGCAAGAGCAGCCCCCACTGAAATCCTAAGCTTTCCTGACTGCCTGGGAGCTGGGGGAGCAGGTGCCACTTCCACGCTGGGCAGCAGCCCAAGGATGGGGTCTCTGTAAGCATCAGTTGTGCTCTGACCCAAGGGGGTTCCAACCCAAACTCAGTGCACGACAATGGACACAAACAGGTGAGATGGTTCCACAATTTTACATCAATTCATATGCAAACAGTCTATTCAAAAGTTTCATCAGCACCAAACCAGATGCATCATCAACATCTTACCACAGGCATATCCACTCTCAGCACAATATGAGGTGCCTAAAACTCCGATAGGTTTCATTTCCCTGCACCAATGGGAAGGAGAAAGATGAAGTGTTGCCTAGCACTACTCACAAGATTTGGGACAGAACTGAATACACCAAGGCCCAAAGCCTGAGCACTTAAAATTCTATAAATAAAATAAAATCAGCTCTACAAATTGCTTTTTTTCCCCTCTGCAAATCTTATAATTCTAAAATCTGTCATTGCACATCTATAAGCTGCCCAGTATTCTTCCATTCTTATCAAGAGTCAATTTTAAAAAATTAAATTTCATTACATCTTGCTAAAAATTCTTAAAATGCTGTTGCCTTTACTATTTAGCAAAGGCAAACATTAAATTGAGGTTTGAAGTTACGGATCCTAAGCATCAGGCCTACCTTTCCTGATTCTCAAGTCCCACTTTCAGTCTTTCAAAAGGTTTATTTTCTTAAGAGAGAATAATTTTCCTATATTGTGCCTTTTTATATTGAAAAAAAACCCCAAAAACTAAGTAGCTTATTCAAAAATTACTGTCTAGAGTTAGAGAAAAAACAGTATACAAAACCTTGCTCAGTAAGCAAGCAGGTCTCAAAACAGGGTTTGGGTCACTGGGCAGACAGGTGGAGCTGGGGCACAGCAGACACTAACACTAAAAGGGCACAGTAAAGGCATGGCCTGTGGGAAATGTGTGTGTGTGTGTGTGTGTTTGTACAGACAGCCTGCTGTGCTGGGGATACAAATGATGTCTGTGGGCAGCAGCATTCACACCAAAAATCTAATGGGATTCTTTCAATATCTGAAATTATTATGTTTGAAGAGACAGCCCTTAAAAGCACTCCTTCAAGACTGCGAGTGCGTTACATGGCAGTGGATGTGTATCTCTAGACTACAGTCTGCCTCCCAGCAAACACTGGATCAAACACCTTCTGCTGAGTTTTGCCTGGTACAGTAGGCTGGACTCCTTCCTGGAAACATGCAGGTGTTACTCCACTGCCACTGTGGGTCATTAGCCTGCTGCTGGGTAGAAACAGTAACAAAGACAAATGCCATGTGGAAACAGAGCGTGTAAAAGCAGACTCCCCAGTGTCCTCCCTCTTACCTTACAGGGTTAAGTGTCCCTAGAGCCCAGGTTTAAGGTCCCAAACGTGCTTCATAGTGCTGGTGTCCTCTTTTGAGTGCAACTGCCCATCCCTGGTTATGCTTGTGCCCTTTTTAGATTTGTTTGTCAGCCTGCAGCTTCCTCCCAGTCACTCTTTCCTAGCAAAACCCATTATTGTGATAAAACAAAGACACCACAGCAAAGAAGCTGAGCAGAACAATGTCCCACTAGGAAATGGAAATCAGAGCTTTGACTTACTTTGTTCATAACTACAATGAAAGGTAGCTTTGTCTTGTACAGGATACTGGGCAGGGAGACACAAAATGAAAGTTTAACATTAATTTAAAACTCACTGGACTAGAAAGCATGTTAAGCATAAGGCAGACAAGACTTGTGCAAAACTGAATACATTTGACATCAAAAGAAAATTATTTTCCTCTGCAGCAATCAAAATGTAATTTTCACCCAAGTCCAGCTTACAACAGTTGAACAAAATAGGCTTCCCCAAGATTTAAACACAAATCTGTGAGGCAGAAAATCTCTGACACATTCAGTTGATTTTGATTACCATTTTCTATGATTCTCAGATCCCAGTTTTTAACTACCTTTGCATTTTGCATTTGACTCAGACCTCAGGTTCTAAGAGATCATGAACTGAGCAATGAATTCAAATAACACAGAACATCTATAAAGAAAATCTACCTCAACACAAGAGCTCACACACTCATTTCACTGTATATGTGCTACCACCTTTTACTCAAACTAATGGCAGAAAATGCAGCATGCAGTAAGACATATTTTGCACACTATTACAGTGATACAGCTTCTGACCTTGACACAAGGATTGCAAAGATTTTTGAAAACCTTTTACCAACATTTATCAAGAATTATGACAGCTCTAGCTATGCTGATCATTCTATAGGTATTTAATCCCTAATTCAACATGAAAGAAAAGAGATAAATTCATGTATGAGGAAGAATACAATAAATCAAGAACTTCTTGCTATGCTGAACCCAAAACAAATCTTGAAAAATCTCTTGAAGTCTCAATAACATTGAAAAACAGAATAAGAAACTATGTGTTTACAAGAAGGAACTTAAACTAGACTATCTTGATACATCATAGATAAATGTGTTTATAAGCAACAGGCAATGTTAAATCTGTTGCAACCAGCATTCACCACACCAAGGTCTCACGGATTATTTAATGCTTTCAGTGGGAGTTTTGAACCAATGACCTCCCTATGTCTATTGACACCTAATTTATTCTGCTTTTTCAATAAGAAAATCACTAAGAGAATAACCAAGCCAGTAGATGAAGTAGATATGAGACATTCTGGGCTGCACCAAGAGCAGCATGGGCAGCAGGGTGAGGAAGGTGAATTTCCCTTTCCACTCTGTTCTCATCCCACCTGGAGCACTGCATCCAACTCTGGAAACCACGGTACAAGAAAGACTTGGAGCGGTAAAGCGGGCCCACAGACCCATGTAAACCATTAGAGCATTCTCCTATGGAGACATGACAGTGAGTTGGGATTGTTCAGCCTGGAAAAGGCTTCAGGGAAGCTTTATTGCAGCTTTTCAGTATACAAAGAAGTTTCTAAGAAAAATGGAGAGTGACTTTTTACCACGGTTTCTAGTGACAGGACAAGGGATAATGGTTTTAAGTTTTTTAAGTTGAAAGGGACATGCTGTCAATTTTTTTCATTATGACAGCAGAGAGATATTGAAGCACACTGCACAGGTAAGCTGTGGCTCCCCATCCCTGGAAGTGTCCAAGGCCAGGTTGGATGGACCAACGTGGTCTAGTGGAAGGTGTCCCTGTCCACAGAGAAGAGCATGGACTAAACAGCCTTTAAAGGTCCCTTTAGACCCAAACTATTCCATGATTCCCCTCAAAAGTAACTATCAAAGAGACACAGTAATTGAAGCAGATGGGCTGCATATACAGCCTTTCTTACCTGCAGGCATAGAGCATGTTGGACATAAAAGTGATAGGGTTAGTACTGCGAGAGGTGTCCATCACATAGACAACAACCGAAGGGAAAGAGGAGGCCTGGGAACACCAAGTCAGAGACAGTTTGATAAGAAACTCACTGCTCAACAGCCAGGTCATTCACACAGCTTCACTGTCCAGTCATGCCAAAAGCACTTACCAAGGCCTCAGTTATGATGGTTCCTGATGCTGACCAAGTAAATACCTCAATTTGCCCTGGTGTGTCAATAATAACATACCTGGTAAGAAGTTAACCCCAAACAACAATTAGGAAAAATTAGTTAAGCACAAGGTCCTGTTCTGACTAGATTATTGCCAACATACAATGGCAAATGACATGATTATTCTATAATAGATGAGAAAAGCTTCTCCCAAACACTAATGAGATTTATGGGCATGCCTGAAAATCTCCTGTGTGAATTTTGTAACTAAGAAGCATGTACTCTCATGAGTTGAAGGCATCAATTTGACAGATAGTTAGTAGTGCAAAATCTTCAGAAAAAGAATTAATTGCTGCCTGTTTGAACAATGTGTGAGAGAAAATGATAGTCTAATGGAAGACAAGAAAAGCAGGACTATAATAAGCAGGCTTTATTTTTATGTACGTAAAGAAAATCTCGTTTATCCATTCTATGCCCTTTTCCACATAAAATTTATACCAAGCCTGAAAAAAAACAGCTAGAAAACATTCAGAGAAGGTTTTTACAAATTTGCAGTTTTCCCACAGTGATCCCAGAAAAGCACAACTCAGTAGAATGTACTCACTTGGATGCATTTTGTCTTTTTTCAATGAACTTCATCACCTGTTTGAAAAAGCAGAGGTATATTTTGTATTTAGGCTCACAACAGGAAACTTTGATCTTCATTTCATAGCAGAAACTACGTTAACTTGCACAGCTGCAGGTGAATATCAAAAGGTTAAATCCTTTATGCTTTTCAGAATGTGCAAATGTCCTACTAAGGAGGGGTGAAAAATGCTCAGACCTGGCATAGGTCAAAGACAATCTTGATTTTGTGTGTGTTCTAGTACCTGGCTAAAGAAATTAGTACCTGAGGAAAGTCAGATCATTTCAATACCTGACATCAGTCTCCACCCCAGAGCTGATTTAGTGCTATGATTTAGGAGGGCTGTCAATTATCAAATAGCCACAGGAAAATTTAATGGGTTTCCAGAAGTGAGCTTCCCTACTCCTACACCAGAGCATCCACATGAAAGATTTTATAGGAAACACGCTGCAACAACAGTCCTGTACAAAGACGGAAGGATGTTCCGGACCTGTGGCTTCTTCATTTTACTTTAAAACAAGCTGAAAGCCTGAAATCCCTCATATGAAAGCTAATGTGCTCTGGCAGCATTGTAGAATATGTAGTTCTGCATGGAGTATAACTCCCCAGAAATACGAGATGGCTAACCAAACACAGTGCCCCCTGAGACTGGACACACACCAAACCCCTGTCTCCAGCACACATGCTGGGACAGCACACAGAAACCACCTCGTACCTGGTCAAATCTTGTAGCAAAGAGATTGAGAGAGGTCACTATTCCGCCGTTTGGGCCCAGCCCATATCTGATGCTTCATTTAGGAAAGCAAATGGTTACGCAGACCCCAGAGGTCATCTTTGTCAGCTCTGACTACAGATGCACTCTGGATATCTTGAGATCAAGGGACAACAGCCGCGATACACGATTAATACACGTCTATAAAGTCATTCAGCAGGCTAACAAATCCACTCTTACCCAAACACATGCAATTGGCAGAAGGAAGAGGGGCTACGTGGCTTCTTCTTGCTATTTGTGCTTTAACTGCACAAGAACCAGCACTGACTCATAACACACAGTTTTCTCTATCACCACTCTCAATATCCAAACATCCTCCTCAAGCTCTTATTAACAAGGCACAGACACTCCAGTAATGGCTAACATATGCAGTGAAGCAAATAATGCACTTACATATTAATTTGAAACTTATATTTAGGATTTTCTGCTGGTAACCCCAAATCAAACAACAGCCAAAATCAAGAATCCCCCATCACCTTTATTCTTGTCTAAAATATTAAATTTAAGAGTCATACTTGCAAGTTAAAACCAAAGACTATGTATTGCCTCATCTGCACAAGCTATTACATAAGCGACCAAAGACCTCCACAGCCCTCAGGAAGTGCAGCCACTTTAGCATAATGTTACTGCACTACAGTCAGCAACACTGTGAGTGAGAGCAAACACTCCCATGTCTCTGAGATTCAGAGAGACAACAATGCTTTGATTATGGCCAAATGGAGAAATAGTTTGCTTCATCAGGCAAGTAGGAATTTTCATTCCTTGCCTAGAGGCAAGTAGGAATTTTCATTGTCATGGTTATGACAAATAAAATTAGACTAGATAAAACATGGGGAAAAGGCTGCCGGCTTAAAAAAAAAAAAAAAAAAAAAAAAAAAAAAAAAAAAAAACACAAAAAAAAAAAAAAAAAAAAAAAAAAAAAGCAAAACAAAACCAACCAACCAAAACCAAAACAGAAAAACAAACAACCCCCTCCCTCAAAAAACCCACCATAAAAGACCAGAAAAAAAAAAAACTATTTATTGCTTGTAAAAATTTACTGTTAGGCAAAATCATTTTTAGCACAGGAGATCAGCTAAGTGCCAAATCTCGTAGAACACACATTCCTAATATCACATGCAAGAAATACACAATCAAAACCTCTTGATCTTCATGCAACACTCTGCATTGCTGCGATCCCACCCACTTCCTGCCCCTTCACCACAGTGTTCACGCAACAGATTATTTTCAAAAACTTAAAATTTCAAATATCATTATTCAGACAAAAAAAAAGGATACTGTTTCATGACTTCTTTGTACTTCACAGTGTCCCTGATATCTGGGGGAGAAAGGCATACAAACAGTTTTCTAACCCCCAGCTGGCCACCATTCAGCTAACAAAGCACATCTCCCAATCTGTCTTACTAGAGATCCAGCACTGGAACAGACACTCCAGTCATTCCTCTGACAGCAGTGAAACAACTTGTGAACCCACACTGTCTTTCTTATCCTTTGGAAAGGTTGGCTGCCATCCTTCACAGAGGGTAAGAGACAGGATTCTCACAAAACTAGGGACTGGTACGCTCTTTGGAACAGCTAAACCTAAATCTGTTCTAGTGCTAAAATGTTTTCTTTAAAATTCGTGTCTTTTAAAGTGCTTTAAAGCTCTTTGTTGATAGCATATTTGTATGGGGGGAACCAAATCAAATCTGCTAATCCTTTCATTACTGATAAAAAACAGCCTCCAGAACTCAAATACCACCAATCACATCAGAAGACATAAAAAGGTACAGATGCATTGGATGAATGGCTTTGGTTCTAAAAACAGTCATATTAACCACTATTTAAAGCAAATACCTATAACTTTAAAAAATAGTCCTTTTTTTATTAGAGCTTGGGCTCTTTTAAGGGAACACAAGCAGCCCAGCTTCTATTCTCTCACGTATTCGCTCCCGCGGAACACATGGAAAGCACACTCCGCGACCCGGCTGGGTCTCTGTTGAAGGCCCTGTTTCCTACTGCGGACCCCAGGCCGCTCCTTCGGCCCGGGCCCGCCGTCCCGTAGCACTTACCGATGTTGGCGGGGAAGGGCAGGCTGTGCACGGCAGGGTCCAGGTTGATCACGTACGGGGGGCAGCGCTGCCCGTGCAGGTGGGCGGCCAGGCGCTGCGGAGACACGGGAATGCGTCAGCCCCGCTGGACACAGGGAGCCCCAGGGGCACGGGCAGCCCCACTGGGCACGGGCAGCCCCGGGGGCAGCCGGCGACTCCCCACGGCCCCTCGCGACTCCCGCAGCCTCTCACCTGCACGAAGGTGGTTTTTCCGGAGCCGGCCATACCCAGCACTAGTACACACACCGGGGCAGCGGCCACGACCGTTCCTCCCGCCGCCGCTGCCATATTCCCAGAGCTCACTTGTCCTTCCGGGGCGGGGGGCGGCCGCAGCGCCGACGTGACACGCCCGGACCCGGTTGTGGCCCCGCTGCCGCCTGGGACGCTCCGCGGGCCCGCGCGGCCTTCTGGCGCTGCTCGACCCCGGGCGCGCCACGACAACCGCAGCGCGGCGGGGCTGGAGGGGCCGGCCGGGAGCGGCGGCCGGGACTGCGCGGGCGGGCGCGGCGCTGACGTGGCGGCGGCACCGGCACCATGCGGGGCGGTAGTGGCGGCGGCTCGGTGAGTGCTCGCAGTCTTTTCACCGATGCCACCGGCGGCTGCCCCGGAGAGTCTAGCTGGTCCGCGGTCATCGCGAGATGGGTTCCGACGTCGGGATCGCGGGAGCGAGCCGGCTTCCCCGGGCCGCCGGCGGGGCTGTGCGGCCTGGCCCGGCGCGGTGAGCGGCCCTGAGCGGGCGGCGAGCAGGCTCGCTTCGGGCTCCTGGGGAGCTGCGCGGGAACCGTCCCGCTCCGCCCGAAGGCCAGGCCGTCCCCCGAGGCCTCGGGCCTGGCCCGGTTCGGTTCGGCCCGGAGCCGGGCAGGACGCCTGAGCGGGGCGCTGCTGGCGCCGGGGTGCGCTTTGTCCGGGATGCTGTAGTTGTTGGTAGATGTGCGGGTAGGAACGGGAACGCGGGGCTGGAACAGGGAGTTCCCCACAGGATCCAGAGCCTCCCGCTCCTCGCGGGGACAGTCGGGCCCGCAGGATGCCCGGTGTCCCTGCTGGCATCTTCATCACTCCAGCTTCTGTACCAGCTCCTCATCTCAGGGGGCTTCGGTGCTGTGCTTCTGCACTGTCTTGCTGAGCTGGATGCTGTCTCTAGCCCGTGTTCCAGCTCCAGCAGCAGACGTGTTCCGTCTCATCAGAATGGGCCGCAGTCCACGGGCAGACAGAATTCACCACTCCCGATTTTTTCAGGCTCTGGGCTGCTGTTTGACTTCTTCTCACCTGTGCAAGGAAGGTGACTTTTCTGTTTTCCTTGTGTCCAGCCGTTGGGCATTCCTGCATACATTAGGTCTCTGTTTTTTAAGTAGGAAGTAAAGTGTATAAAGGAAAAAAAAACCACAGAACTTAAGCACCAGTTTCTGTAGATGTTTCCTTTATAATTGCTGTTATTAACTTCTCAGTAAGTAAAGCCTGACAGATCGTTTTCACTCTCCTTTTTTATTACAGATCCTTAACTACTACCAGAGTTTTTCATAGTAATCCTCACTCTTAACGCAAAATTTTTTAGTTATGAAAACCCCATGAATCTTGATACACACACCATGTTTGTAATTTCAGTTCTTCTAATTGTAGATTAAGCCAGTGAATTGCAGCAGACTCCACCTGCCTGTTTATTTGTTTTTACCATTGTAAACTCATAGCCCTGACTTTTTCTGGCTGCTTCTCAGTGAGGGTTCTACACATTTCTCATGTGGGGATTTCCCAGACAGTGCTGTTGACGCTACTGTTTGGGTGTAAATAGTGCAAACACAAACGTCCAATTACCTTCCTTCTTCCAAGGAGGCAAAATTTGATTGTGAATTCATTGATCAAGCAGTTGTGAATTTTCTCCTGCTGCTTCCCTAACATTTCCATAAGGAGACTCTGGGGCTGGAGGGTGTAGGCACAGTTTAATCATTCATATATTGGTATTAGTGCCCGCTGCTGAACTTCTTAACTAGTGCTTGGGATGTCTCTCACTGTTGATAGTGGGCATCACATTTTCCTATGAAGAAGATATGTAATTTAGTTATAATTTCTTCTTTCTTGTTTTCCTTTTTTGTATGTGTTTTTTTTGTTTTGTTTCATTGGATTTTTTTGTTTTTTCTTTTCAGGGTGTTTTGTTTTGTTTTGGTTCTTGTTAGGTTTTTTGTGGGTTTTTTTGGTTCTTCCAGTTTCTTAGCCAATTCCTGTTTATGGCAAAATACTACTTTTGTTCCCTACGTTGCACTTTTGTTATTCTTTATACTTCTGCTGGGCAGTGATTTTTATTTTCTAGTCTGTATAATTACTGTTTTTATCCTGAGTTTTCTAATGAAGAATGGCATTCATTCATTATTAGCATTTGGAAGATGGTGGTGGTAGGTGATTGTCCACACACTAGGAGCAACCTACAACAAATGAGTTATTCAACTGATTTATACACATACTTTTATGAAGATGTGTTAAATTGTCTCAATAGGAGCACAGCAAGTGATAAATGACAAAAAAAAATCTTTGTTAAGTAAGAAAAAGGATTCTGTGATGTGGATAAAGTGAACATCTGGGCAGCTCATGGGGTATGATAAAGCAAGATAAAAAGGAGGGCATGAAGGAGACTAGAGATAACGTTCTTGGCAGGGTAAATGGAAGAAATACTTCATTAAGGAAAACTAAATACTGTGTAAAAGCTAGCAAATTTGAATCTAAAATATTTGTCATCAGGTGATAAAGTATAGGCAGAAAACATATATGGGTGAATGTACTGGAGACAAAGAACACTCCATCACGTCCCATTGTAGGGTAAAGATTTTCTTTCATATGGGGAGTGTGGAGGAGCTCATCCCTGGTTTGATTCCAGTCCACTTCAGCTGTAGTTGGAAAGGTTAAGCACTTCTAGTTTCAGAAAGCAGTAATTTCGTTTTCAGAGGGTGGTGTATGCGCATCCTCAAAGTGCAGGTAATTATGCTTCACTGCATAGTAAAACATGCTAAAAGAAAACAAATGATGCTGCTAATGTGATTTTTTCTGCCTTGTTAGGACACCAGGACTGGACATCACAGACAACAGAAGCACAAGAAGTCCTTGGGAAATAAAAAGTATGTGAATGTTTCTTGTCTGGTTTGATTGAAGGCAAGAAAAAAAGCTGAGAATTTTCTGAATTTTAAGAGCTGCAACAATTTTAATTAATGTGTTGGGAGTCTCAGCTGACTTCACCTACTGCTTTGTAGGAAAAGTGCTTTTCTGACACTTCAGTGTGTATTAGCTTTCATTTCTTTTTTAAAAGGATTTTAGCATTGTGAAGATAAAATATTTTAAGTCCAAGACCAAATGGTGCTCTGAAATGTATGTAGTCTGGGTGTGATTGCAACTTACAGACTTCAATTTGAGAAATCTTCTCCCTGTACTTCTGCATGACCTGACCTGGTGCCATCAGTGTCCCCCCTTGTTAATTCCTGGATTGATGTATTAAAGGTGAGCTCCACAGCTCAGAGTATTGACAGAGTGGCCATCACAGTCATCACTTGAGTGATCTACTTAATTCAGTTGTTAATTGTAGTAGCAATGGGATACATAGCAAAATGTTTGTGTTCCCTTTCTTTCCTTTTTGAATAAATAGTATTTGCCCAGAGAATAGATACTCTGTGTTTCTTTGACACCTCATTCAGTTTGCTGTCATGTACAGGAATGTAGATGTCTAGGCATTTCACGGCCTGAGAGAAATACTTTGGAACAGGGAAGCAAAATTCCCTGTGATCTTTAGGAAAAAAATTCAGTGTTGCTAATTAGCCTGAAGTAATCTTAATGTAGAGTGATTTGTAGGATATATTGGAAGGTTGTCTTCATTGCTGAAAGCTTTGCTAGTTAAAATTCTTACTGGCATGCAATCTTTAATTGTGTAGCACCAGCCCTGATTCTGGGAGTAGAGACTGAAGGAGATTTGCCCTTTGTGGGATGGAAAATGTCTCTTTTGTAATAATGAGCTGCAGAAATATTCTTATATTGCAAGAATAAATGCATATTTTTAAATTAAGATTCACTTGCTCCTGCTTCTAAAGTTGAAAGTTTTAGGTAGGAGGAATATTTTTTCCTGTTTCTCCTGTGATCTCACTAATTGTCATTATCAAAAAGATGTACTAGGAAACAGCACTGAGGACATTTTATCTTGCTGGCACTTTACAGTTCCCTAACCTCAGGTGATTCTGTGAACTGTGATATTTATTTTTATAATACTTGGGAAGATGAAAGGATGTTGTTTGTCAAGTTTATTGTGGTTGTGTGTATATACATCCGTATACAAGTATGCATCCATACACACAGGACTTGATGTTTTCCAGGTCTAAGCAACTTGAGGAGGTGGAAGCTGCTGTTGTAGGAGTGAACAGTGACTCTGAGGACACAGTCACCAATATTTCCTCTGCCTCCCCAAAGAGCCCAGTGAATGGGAGTGCAGAGCCCAGGAGCAAGCGGACCATTCGCAGGCCTGCTTACTGGTTGGAAATGAGAGGAATGAAAAACAGTGTGAACAAATCTTCAGAAAAAAAAGGTATTTATCACTGCTGGTCCAAGGCAAAACTGATTTTCTCTCTGGTTCTTCAGTGAGAGATTAGTTTTGCTCATGAAAGACATGCTGCAACTTAGCCAAAAATTACAAGCTTGCTAGTGCTGCTCATGTATTAGAAGAGATTAACTTTTGCCACTGCACAAATACGGGTACAGTTCTCTGACATTATACAGTTGCTTTTGAGTCACTTGTCTATTAAAATAATCATTCTGTGCCTCAACTCAGTTCTATCTGTAGAAGAGGTAAGAGTTACACCAATCATATCAGAAATAAGCTTCAAGAGCTTTAAATATAGAACTGTCAACACTAAAGATGTGGCAAAGGGGACCATTCAGTAGTATTTGGGATTAGATACAGCTTTTGTGGTTGGTATATATTTTTTTTTAAGGATGTCTTTATTTTCTCACATTTGTCAGTTATAATTTTATGATTTGGTTTGGGTCTTAGGTTGTTGCAGGAGCATTCAGATTTCCTGGCCTAGGAGCTGTTTTCCAAACTTCTTGCATGTCAGAGAGTCAAAATTTCAATAATCTTTAATGCACTTTCTTCTGACCTCTAAGTCAGTATCCATATTCCATTCTACTGGGGGAAGAGGCAAATTTGGTAGCTTGATAGAAGTGAGATTGCTGTAGCTGCACAGTCCCAGGTGCAGTCACTAGCCAGACTGAGTGACTATTCCTGTAGGAACAAACACAGACCTACCACATACATGAACAGGAGCCACATGCACACAAACAGCACCA